AGTAGTAGTAGTAGTAGTAGTAGTAGTAGTAGTAGTAGTAGTAGTAGGAGGAGGAGGAGGAGGAGGAGTAGGAGTAGGAGAAGGAGAAGGAGAAGGAGAAGGAGAAGCAGTAGCAGTAGCAGTAGCAGTAGTTGTTGTAGTAGTAGTAGCAGTAGGAGTAGGAGTAGGAGTAGCAGTAGCAGTTGTTGTTGTTGTTGCTTGTTGTTATTGTTGCTTGTTGCTTTCCAAAGTCAGTTCCATGAACTTGTCTAATTTGAGAGGGTACTGAAAGAACCGATCAGGCCAGGAGTTTGATGTTGAGGTTCAAGACGTGTCGTTGATGTAACTTTGCTCAAGTTATTTTTGGATGAAGTGAACATGGATTTGCCGTACTAGTGCTGCTAGGTTCGGCTAGGTCCATGCTCTCATCATGCGTACGGACTGAAAAAAGAAAGGTTTCGACTATATACTGTCCGCTCAGTGTCAAGCAAACCATTGGAGAATTGACGTGATTTTTGCTTCGAACTTGGAACTCTATGCAAAAGAGAATTGGAATCCGGACACATCTTGAAACCATGGCGATTCAATTATATAGTATTGACCCCTTTTTGTTGGGTAAATCTATGCCATACATGGAGTGTCTGGGATATCTGACACCCACTTCATTCCAAGCAACGGACACCGAGGTGTCTGGTCTCATGCGGGTCACAGCGCTGAAAGTGAGCCTGGGCCACTATGCCAACCGCGGGTGCCGTCGCGGAGTGGACGGGCGGTGCCGCGAGCTCCCGGTCCTTCGTTGGCTGAAGAATGGGCACTTGGATCATTCGGATGGGAGTGGATGAGTGATGATGAGTGTTATCTTCAATTTGAAAACGAGTGGAGACCTTAATAACTAGCTGCCAACTTTCTATTCTATAGCCTTTAGAATACATGACACCCCCAAAAGCCTGCTGCTTCAGACCTTCACGTCGGTGCCATGACACCCCCCTTAAGAACTCCAACGTTCTGGAAACATCTCTTCTTCTCTCGGTGCGACGTTCTCATGGGATTCTCGGTTCTCCTGCCCGTTCCGTCTGCAGGTTCTCCGATGCCCGGGGGGGCGATGCTTTGGGCGTGGGACGCCGCTCCATCCTGCAGGCGCGCGGAGACCGCGGCGGTCGGCGAGGGCGGTCCGCGCGGTCTGCGGGAGACTGCGGGGGGGCGAAGAAGCGGGGGCGCGGGGAGAACGTAGAGAGCGGTGGATTTCCGCATGTGTTCAGGTTTCAACTAATTGTGGATGTTTAATGTTTAACATGTTTTAAAATGTTTTTAACATGCTTTGAATCATTTAACATCCACTAAATCTGACACTATATACTATATACCTGGACCACCCAAGTGCTCCAGAATCATCTGCTCCATGTCCTGGTTGGACATGTTGTTCTTATTCCAGCGTATTTTTCTTTTCTCCACTCGGAGGGTCTCCCTGGAAAAACACGAGAAGATCAGCTACATGTACCTAGGTGCCAGCTTCACCCCTCTTCCACACTCATTGAGGACGGTCACCCGACATGGCCAGGTCCGCGATCGTCGGGCCTTCAGGGGGCTCTCTTCGGACGAGTGCGCCGGCCCTTGGCGACATCCGCGACGCACCGAGAGGACTTCGGTGCGTCTGGGCGGGTTCCATTGGGGGTGGTCTCGGGGGGGGTGGTCCTAAAAGGCTTTTGTGGTCTCAAAATGCTTGGCATTTGGGCACAACTCACCACCTCCTATCCTGGGTGGGTGCTTCTATCGCCAGCCTCCTCCTGGAGATGTTGGACTCTGTGATGAAACCCGCTCCGTCAGATTTGGCTTGGAACTCGTGATGGGCATGCAGTTTCCATGTGTTCTGTACATGTTTGTTGTTCTTCCGCACCTGCAACTCTGTGTTTTGAGAAGTCATTGTGGCCTTTGCGATTGTGGTATGCATTTGAGCATGCCATGCTGTACCCCGCAGCCGCTTCGCTTCGGTGACCCGAAGAGTGGTTGTCACATTTGCAACCAGGCTTCAAAGCCGATCGAGATCATGTCAAGATGTGTTTCTTCCACATCAGTCAGACATAGTCAGACAGTCAGGTCTCAGGTGGATGAAACCCATCGCCGAGAAAACCAGAACACCGGCTCATGAAGCAGTGCCCAATTCGATCGGAGCCCTCCACCGGCACTCGAAGGTACCTCCAAGCGGTGGCGGATCACTATTGCCCGCTGCCCACGCGCTGGCGCCAGGCTGGGGAGAAAGGAGACTTCGGGGGGGTCATCGAGTTCGAAGGCTAACGGGTGTAGGTGACGAGGAAGGTGGATAGGTGCTTGGTGTTGCCTCGAGTTCCGGAGCATGGAAGAGAGAAGAGAAGAGAGATGAAGAGAGCACACGCAGACTGGATAGATCGAGTGAGTCACATGTTCACCTTTTGATTGTCAAATGCAGTGACTTGATTTGTTTGATCACCGTTTGATCAGTTTGATCACTTCTCCCACCGGGTCGATCTTTTGGCTAGAATATATGAGTATCCCTTTCAGTTGCCTCATCCACTGACCCAGGGGTACCAGGGAAGCTTCCTTGAAGACCATGAGGTGAGATGTTCGTTACTGAGGGTCGAGAGTCCAGAAAAAAAGAAAAAGTGGATGAAGTATTTGTTTTGTGAACTGTTGAGTGCCTCTTCAATGTAAACGTTTCTTAAAGCATCATGAGCTTCGGGCTTCCGGACTGGAATCATTCGTCAACAGATCATGTTTGGCGGCTGAATTGAGGACACCGCTTGCGGTAGATCGACAGGTTGACACCATGTGAGTGCCTCTTCATAGTAGACACAAAACAATAGGAGTATGCATTCCGGCAAATGGAACTCCCATAAACTTCCGTTTATTGATCACAACATGTTTGTTTGTTTGGTTGGTGGCCTAATTTGATTGTAAGAAAGTTCATGCCACCCAGAAACGCAGAAACGCACAGACCAAGTCTAGACCAGACACCATGTCCCCCGTTGTCCCGGCTGTCGACCTCTACGGCCGTCAGGTCTGGCACCAGACCCGCGGCACCGCTCTCTACCTTTGGCGGCCGTGCCCGCCGAGCGATGCCTTCGTCGCGCTGGGCATGGCACGGGCTGCCCAGAGGTCACGAAGCGGTGTCGGGAGCGCCGAGGTGCACGAAAAATCGAAAAAAGGGAACGGGTGACGTGGCGCACCAAAAGCTTCCAAGAAGAGGTTTGGAAAGTAGATGAAGCAAGGATCCAGTTTACAATTGGGAGTCTCACTCAGTCTCGATCAACAGCTAGCAGCAGCCCTATCATGATCATTTGTCCCTTCCCCGATTGGATCTCCATGGGATCGATCTTCACCACCTGCCCTCACCGCCCTCACCACCGCCCCGACGCTCACCGTCCTCGATGCGACGATTCAGGTGGCCACCTTGAGCTCCGAGCCGCCGCCGCTCAGCGCCGCCCGCTGCGTCTGCAAGAGCTTCTGTCGCCCGAGCACGGAGGCCGGCGGCGGCGTGGAGGGCAGTGGAGGGCAGGGACCCAAAAGCTGTGGGATCAAACCACGGGTCCCAAGGAGGGAAGGGTGTTTTCTGTGTTTTTATGCGTTTTAGAGTGCGTTTTAGTGATTCTGAAGATGTTTGCTTCCCACTATGGTGAGGACTTCTTGGTAGAGTTGGGATATTAATCTGTTTGAGGAGGGAGTCGGAACAGATTCTTCAGGGGGTCCTGAGTCCCTATTGCGAAGAAAGCTGCCACGTAATGCAACTTGTACCTTAATGGTATGTCTCTAGCACCGGTTGGTCAGACAGATGGTGTGCATATCAAAAGTACACAGGTAGTCCAACAAGCTCAAGAGCTTGTGGGACTTATTCTGTGATAGATTTGCACGGTTTGCCATTCAACCAATCCCATTTGGATCCAAAAAAGCTTTGCTTCGCTCGAACGCACACAGACTATCACTTTCTGCTCAGCGTTTCCTTGTCCTCACCTGTCCTCGCTGATGTTTTTCTTCCTCATCTGTCCTCAACTCATCGATCTCGTCCCCCCCCAGGTGCCGCTGCAACTCTGGGACGACAGTGGAAGCGGTGGGAAGCCCGCGCGCGGCAGCTCAGGGCGGGCGAAGCGAGACGGGGAGTGGGCCAAGGGGCGTGGAGAAAGAAGAGATGTCAAGGTATTGTGTCATATTAGATCATATTAGATCATAATGTTACACATTGACGTGATCATCCATGCTTTCCAATCCATCAAGGGCGAAACCGATGCGAAACCAACGCCATGACCTCGAAGGGACCTCGAACCGAATGCGAAACGCTGAAGAACACAGCCGCGGCGGAGACTCTTCGCCGAGGTCCTTTTGGCTCGTGAACTCGGCGCAGGCCGGGTGACCGGTCCGACCGGTGACCGGGAACGGGGTTCCAGGTGGGTTGCTCCGACGCTTGGGGCGCCGTGACGGCGTAATGAGCTCTCTAAGTAGCTGTTCCACACAAGAGATGGAAGAAACCCATGGAACCATGGATTTCACATGGTTTCCACATGATTTACAACCATGAACAACTCGCATCATCCTTTTTGCACGATCCTGGCAGGTCCTGATAGGTAGAGGTCACATCTATCTCCCTGCCGGTGCACCGTCCGCAGGTCTTATGGGCTTCGGTGGGCCACAACCCACCCCACGAGACCTTCTGGGACCGGATCCAAGGGGTGGCAGGGGTGGCACCTGCCTTGGAAGAGGGGGGTTGAAAAGGGAGTATAGATCGCACTGAGTTCATTACCTGATTGGAATCTTCGGATGTCATGGTCATGGTCATCGTCATATGTTTGCAATCGGGGGGGCACAGTATCCCCTTGTTCTATACGTCAAAGATCGTATACGATGATTCCAGGGAGGTGTACTCCAAGTCACCGACCTCAGATCCAGTGGGTTTTGCCCGGACGTTGGCTCACGGGCCTCAGAAAGCCACTCAAAAGTCAGAGGTGAGGTTCAATGGGGGAAGGACAGGGCTTGAGCCACCCACAAAGGCTTGTCAATTTGCATTTGGCAGCATTGTTTCAACATGTTCAGCAAGCACCTGCAAGCAACTATAGGAACATGTCTGTCATTGGTGCCAGCAGTTCCATTTGTGGAGGTGCCCAAACTTGGAGGAGATTTAGGAGGGCGCGCCCCCCCCTGTCACATCCACTCACCGTTCATACCGTTCATGGGACTCACAAGTATTCCGACCTGGAACTGGCTGCTGTTGCAGATCCGAAGGGCCATGGAACTGGTCCTCTCCGGTCTCCCCAAGCGCCGGCAGTGTGAGGAGTTGGCTGCCGAGAGCATCACCTTCGACTACTTGGGTCGTCCCTCGCTGCACGTGCCATGGCAGCGGTTCAGCGACGGTGGTGGAGACGGTGCGCCGGGGGGCAATCAATGGCCAGGGCGGTGCTTGCCCTAGTGTCGAGGGAGAGAAAGTAGATCAATCCGAGGACCTTCCATGTCGCAGTGATGTGTTTGGGACACCCCGAATCACCGCGAATGATTGAATGAGGCGTTTTCTTCTTTTGAGACCCCGAACGGAGGGTCCCGGTCTACGGTCTACGTGCCGCTCGTCTCTTCTGTTGTACTTGTCTCTTCTGAACCCTTATGTCAGTTTCAACTTTTTGCATCACCGACATGTGTTATAATTTTTGTTGCCATCCCAAAAAAGGCTCAGAAAGGCAATCATAGCTATGGTTTGGACTCTCACAACTAGGGTATCCCACCTCAAAATTAAGCCAGCATATGTGCCAGCAGTGTGAAGGTCCATATGAGCCCATCAGCCTCCAGCCTCTGGGATCAATCGTTTTGTTTGACCGGTCTCGGTTGACCTGGTCGGTTTTGTTTGACTCGGCGTTCTGGATGGGACTGGCGACTCGGTGTGAGCGGAACGCTGTTTGATCGCATTGCTTCATGGAGAAATGGGATCTTCAATGCATGAATCAACAGGCAACTAGAACTTGGAAAGGGATGAATTCCAAACATCAAAATCAGTTGCCATGCTTGCTCCTTTGACATCTCTTCAAACCAAAACCATTGACACTCTTGCAATATGGTATATTACAATATAATATTAGTATACGTATAAATTATATATACTATATATACAGATATACATATTACTTACTACAGTATATACATGTCAATGTCAAATTAATTCAACAAGATGACATAGGATAATTTGATCTGCTCAGAGACCCGACTGCAGCCGCCCAGGTCGTTCACGATCTGCAGCCGCCCGGCACGCCACGAAACACTGAAGCAGGGAAGCCCAGGTGAGCGTGGAACCGGTCAGCCATTGGCAGAAGAGCTTCTGTTGGTGACCTCTTTGGAGTGCCCTGTTGGTGAAGCCTTTATAGGCGCGTAAGTGTCAAACTGAGATGTCAAGTGATTGAGGATTGAGGCTTGGATTCTGGTTGGATGGTTTTTCATGGGTGTTCGGAGTTCGACGGGTGCTTCGGGTTTGTGACCAGTGACCAAGTGTACGTTGAATGGGGGTCCAGCGTGGGAAGACTCTCAAGGCTGCTTAGAAATGTGATGGTGCGACACCGTTGGGAAGAACCACGTTTCAAGTAGGAATTGCACACATACACCCAATAGTCAATAGTTCATTAGTTGGAAGTTCAAAGAGTCTGTTTGTTAGAATGTATTTCAGGTTGCGTTGTGGTCTAGGGGGAGGAAATCAAAGCTTTATAACGGTGAATTATTTTCTATATACTTAAATTGGTTTGACTCGTTTCAAGATAGGGGTATCTCAACAAATAGATAGATCAACTTGCAAAATCACATATTCAGGCCAAACATCATCCAGCAAGGTCCCCCCCGGTTCGGGAGATTTGCTTTGCAGGGAGGTCTTTGTGTGAACCCCGAAAAGGAGGGAAGGACGTTTGCAGAGTCAAAGCTAAATTTAAAGCAGACTGAGTTTGTTCAGACCTTGGTCAGACCACGCGCACCTGTCAAGAAAAATCCCTGTAGGATGTTGACGAAGGGATCCTCCAAATCTCCAACTGTTTCAATTTCGATCCAGATTCTTGTTTGCGCTAACGTCATCCTTGGGTAAACCGGGAGAAACACCAGTAACCTGACCGCTTCTCGTTTTTAACGGGAACTTTTGGTCAATCTTTGTAGGTGCCAGGATGGTTGGCAGAGTCAAAACAAGTCGCCCCCCAAACCAAACACAAAAAACTTCTGGATACTGACGGGAGTGAGCTTGCAGGCTGACATACATACGTAGAACCCAGGTTTCGTAACTATGAAAGATACGCTATACGCTGCAGGTGCTGGTGGTTGCTGTGTGTTTTATCCCCTTTGCTCTTTACGGAGGAGCGCGAAAACTCGCACACGTCGTACTTGAAGGATGTTTGAACACCTATAACTATACCTATATAGGTCATGAGACATGCTGCTCACTATCCAACTTTTCTCAGAACTCGTGGTCGTTTATGGACAACCCTTAACATCCAAAGTGTGCTTGACAGAGATTCCAAGGAAAGTCTCAGCTCTAGTGGTGTTTTCCATGTGAATTAATTCGTATCAATGTTGGTACAACTTGTACCTTCATGATCTTTCATGTCCTTTCCCTTGAAAAAAACGGTCCGCGATCTCTGGCTCCACCTCTTTATTAGCACGAAACGGAGCGACCCAGCTCAGCTCCGCCAGCGCTGACAGAAGTCGCCGTGTTAGGTGGAAGTGGAGACATCCTCCTGGTCTTTGACGAATCTCTTTTCCTCGACCAATCGTCGTAAATCCTGAGCTAGCCAAAGAGCTAAGCTGCACGAGCTGCGCGAAGTTCCACACCGCGGCTGGGCCGTTTCAGTTCCCGTTTCCGCTGGAGGTGCTTCGTTCACCTCCTGCTGTGAGTGGTTCGTTTGAGAAACTGATCCACCACGGATTGAGCCTGTCAACAGGTGAAGCTCACATGGGCAAGTCGTATCTTTTTCTGATCCGACAGGCGGAGATGCAGAGCCAGATGCAGACTGGCTCCATGCAGACTGGTGGCACAAAGTTTGTGGCCACGAGTCCAAGATTGTTGAGGGGGAGTTGCCACGTGGTAGGACCGGCCAAAGGAGAAGCTCAACGTGCTTAACCATGCTTTAACGTATAGAACGAACTATAGAACAATAGCTTTGATAGAGATGAGGAGGTGGACATGTTGAACAGGACCGGTCTTTGAATGCTGTGAATTCACGTTGTGTTCATTGTCAACCAAGTAGAGAATTGTTGAAGTATGTATTGAAGTTGGTTCAGTTTTATGTTCAAGCAATGGATGCGGAGAGTTGTTGAAGTTTCCAAGATCTCCTTGGTAGATCTTAGTAATAGTAGATACACCTCTTGATGTTTCCCAACAAACTTCCTAGTGTCTTCGGCCACAAAGAGGTGCAGATTCTACCACTGGCTTGCTTCTCACTCACACTGCGCGTGATTGATTGCCAGAAAAAAGGGGAGCGAAGCGGTTGCCCCAAATGCCCGCAGCGACGCCCGCCGCGATCCGAACCCCAACCGACCCGGCACGACCGGTGCGGTGCGTCACTCTTCGGACGACGACCTGGGCGGACGACCTGCGCACCGAGCAAGCCGTGGACTGGCCGTGCGGAGTGGGCCCCCGTTCCACACGGCCAGGACAAAGGGAAGGAGGAAGGGAACAGGAAGGAGGAAACAAGGCATGCGTCGAAAAGGTTGGGCAACTCGCATTCCGCAGCTTTGCTTTGGCCTGGATGTTTCCGCTTCTCAGAATGCTCCAAGGGAACTGACCACTTGCACGACAGACAGCCCTGCCACGCACGACGTTGCGGCGTTTCAAGCGGCCCGACATCCTTGCCCTTTCCCATCTCGTGGTCTTTGCAATCCAGGCACCGCCTCCTTCAAAACCGAACACCCAACGTCTCCCCATCCCCACCTCCATATACCGACCGACGTTTTCGAACCTCTTCTGGCGCGACGTTTGCTTGGGCGTGGTGTGTATAGCTGTCAGCCGTTGTTCCAGCTGCGAGTTAGTTATTGCTGGCCTTTTCCTTGCAGTGGGGAATCTTGAGGTCAGATCCACGCGTCAATCTCACATGTCATGTCATTCCACCTGTCCATGACCAACATCGCGACATATATCGCTACACACCGCCCTCCTCGCTACCTTGCTGCGACGGAAGACGCACGACGTGGACGAACGAAGCATTTCGATGCAGCCAAGACAATAGGAACAGATTACATGGATGCAAGCACCCCAACCCTTGGGTTCGGATACTGGAGGTGTAGGTGAAGTGACGCGGTGCAAAAGGGGACGTTTTTTTTTAAAGACGCGCAGTAATTAATATCCTCGGAAGGAGTGAAGCGCATGTCTCGTTCAAGCATGTCAGTCTCGTTCCAAAGCGAGCTTGGCGTGAAGGTGAAGACGTCACTGGTTTCGTTACAGCGCCGGAGGTTCGAAGCTCGGATGTTCCCGGGACCGGTCTGCGGAGTGCCGGCGTACGTTCTCTATAGCGCCGTATATGCTCGGTGCAGATCCAATGAAGCTCATCACCAGGAGTCGCATGGAGTTAGGTGCCGAACTGGGCGCGTTTTGGGGGCTTGCCCCCAGTCACATGGCACCTGGATGGGACACTCCCAACTCCAGACTCCTGGGGACTCTGGACGACTTGCATCGTTTTGTGGCTGTGGCTCAGACGACTTGGATCGTTTTACGACTAACTCGCCCATATGAGACTTCCTCCTCCCCCTTTCCTCTGAACGGAGTTCCTCCTCCCACGGGGGAACGGATCGATCTTCACTTCCAGAAGGAGGTCGTGGAAAAAAACCCTGTGACAGTGCAGTGCTTGGATTTCTGGGCTTTGTGCAGTGCTTCATTGCAATTCGTTGACACTTGTCTTTTTTGGATGTCCAATCCAAGTTGTTTAGATGGCCACAGGTGGTCGGTTGATCGCAATTTCCCACCCAATGAGTGCTTGACCCAGCTCCGCTGTTCGTTTCCACTGCCCTGCGGCCTCCATGATGCCGCCACCCACAGCACCCCGGTGACTCAGCGCGCTCCCGCGATCCCCCGGTTCTTCGACGTCGACGACGGAATTAGGCGAAGGGGGGAAACAGACTGCAGGGGTTATACAAGTACGCTACTGCTACTACTAGCAAAGGGCATCGCTTGTTTTTCGAGCAAGGACGCTACGAACGGGGCTCCTGGCCTTTACTAGGAGCAAGGACGCTACGAACGGGGCCCGCCATGGATGAGCCACTTCCCCCCCTGACGGTGAAGCGCAAGAGCAGTGAAAACATGTGAAAACGCAAGCACGAAAGCACGACGAACATGGCAACAGGAATCGGTAGCACTCGTCAGCAGATGTTTAAAGTGTGACAACCTGGTTGTTTGATGTTGTTTGGACGTGAGAGTTACCACTAAAAACTGTAACAACTTGTGATGAAACAGACTATCATACATCAAAGGCACAACCAACACACAAGCTCCCCGTCAAGTTTCTCCAGTGAAGAAACTATCCTTTCCGTGAGCTGTGTGAGCTGGCAGGGGAGCCAGCCACTGTTGATGAAAGCCTTCTGTTGGAAGAGATCCTATAAACCTGCCAGATGCGGGATGCTGGTTTAAAACGTCTGCTGTATTTCAGTCAACCGTTCTTCCTAGGCACGCCAATTCCAGAAGGATTTTTCCGGTGAGCGACAGCACCCAAAGCGCCTTCAAAGAACATGAATTAAGAGAATTGTTGACCTGGTGTTGTAGTCTAGAGTCCTTAGTAAAACAATGGTCGTTTGGCAAAGACCATCAAAACAATTGTTTTTGGAATCCCAGGTTTTCGGAGCATTGAAGGGCCACATCGTTAAACAAAGCAACAGTCATGTGCATTGAACTGTCGAAAGCTTTCTCTCGCAGCTTGTTGTGTTCAACTGGTTTTCCGTTTTTCCATCCAATTTCAATTCCAGCAGCAGCGCATACGTTACAATCGGTTGCCACGTTGCCAACCTCAGAACTTTGGACGTTGCCACGACGTATACGCATTTGTGTGTGATTGCCAACCATAGCGAACAGGTGTGCTTTCAAGTTGATAGGTCTGTTGCAATTAACGTTGTAAACTGTAAATGTCATAAACATAGTTCATCATGCAGAGGCGCCGTGCCATTTGCTTCGTGACTGCTTGATATTTGGTAAGCCTTTGTTGTCACATCAGGTGAACATATAACATGTTTCACTGGTTGTGCCAAGCATTGCTCAGCAACTCAAATTGTTGTCGACGCCTATATAATTGAATCGATTGTTCCCCAAGTGTCAGGAGAGGGTTGTTAACATATAGAGGATCCAGCCTCATCCTTTCTGTTTGTGTTTGTCTCCTCGTCCTCTCCTTTCAGTTCCGCAACTGCCAGCTCCACATCGCAGCGCCTCCACAGCAAGATCGCAGTTGGCATTACTGCAAACACCAGATCCCAGTGGGCACTACCGGACCCCAACTGCAAGCTCCAGATCCCAGTGGGCACTACTGGGCCCCAACAGCAAGCACCAGATCCCAGTGGGCACTACTGGGCCCCAACAGCAAGCACCAGATCCCAGTGGGCACTACCGGACCCCAACTGCAAGCTCCAGATCTGAGTGGGCACTACCGGGCCCCGACAGCAAGCTCCAGATCGCAGTGGGCACTACTGCGCCCCAACAGCAAGCACCAGATTCCAGTGGGCACTACCGGAACCCAACTGCAAGCTCCTGATTCCAGTGGGCACTACGGAGCCCAATTGCATCCTGGACCCCAACTGCACGCTCCAGATCGCAGTGGGCACTCCTGGGCCCCAACTGCGAGTTCCAGATCTCAGTGGGCACTCCAGGACCCAAGCTGGTCCATATGTCACATCACATGCCAGACCGGAACAATGTCAGAACACACCAAAAAGGACGTCAGAACACAGGCCACACACAACCCATCACAGCCTAAAACATGTCCCGGTCTAAATTTAGATATTTGATGTGTTGGAAGCCGAAGAAAGGTTTGCTGCCAGAACAAGTACTCTGTCAATACATATTTTCAACGTTTCTCCGACAAGCAGTGCATATGTAGGTTGCACAACCCGTTCTATAGAGAGGCAGCTGGCACGCCAACACACCATCTGGTATACATTGTGCATCCTTTATCCTAGCTAGCAAGACTCTTCGATAGAAAACAATTCCGGCAAAAGCCGGCTATCATTTTTTGCGTTGTCAACTTCCAAACAATAACCGGCAAGCACAAATAATGATAGAATGTATTGCCGTAGCCTTTGTGTTACCTAGTGTGGACGAAGGAAAGAAGGAAGGAACGTAAGAAAGAAGGAAGGAAGGCAGGAATGGTTTTGCCCAAACACTGAGTTTCAATCATGTCAAACAGACTATTTATGACCATTTATGATTTGGACGCACCAAGTCCATTTTTTTGACATTGGACCAGCCAAGTCACGTCGGGATAAATTGGCCTGCCGGGAGATCTGCGAGACTCTAATGAGCAACAAGCGAGCAGCGATGCAGCTCTTGCAGGTGACTTCGGAACAGGATGTGGGGACCGAGGAGGAGGAAGAGGAAGGGTTGTTTTTTGCCTGCTGCGATTGACCTCCAGCATTTCAGTCGAACAGGCCAGACGATTTCAGTTCCGGGTCCATCTCCGCCCCTCCTCCTCTGTCAGGTGGCAGTGTTTCCTGCCGTACCTCCATTGCGAGCCAGGAGGTGTGCCAGGCATTGCCAGGCAGAACGCTGCCACAAAGGATGCCAGAAAAATGTCAGACGATATGCAAAAAATGCC